CCAAGGCCGCTCTACGGTCCATGGATTCCTATTCACACTTCATCCAAAGGGGAAAACACTCTCAATGTTCTCCAGGGGCCCTGGAGAAGACAGGAAGTCACCAATGTGAAATTCACAGACAGTTAAGTCTCCTCTCCATCTCTGAAAATGATGAGGACACGGATCCAGTCCCTGTGTGGAATACACACAGGAAGCTGCCCTGTGTTGGAAAGGGCAGTTGCTGATGATACATACACACCGATTCCTCAGGGTGACACCCTCAGAAAGCTCCCTAATAAGGATCAGAAGAGCCTGAGGACAGGAAGAAACCACTTAGAGTCACATTCCCAAAAGTAGCTGAGTCATCTCTGAGCCTACTAGCTATATAGTTTCCCAGGACTCTACCCTCGGAGATTCCGATTCCATGGGCCTGGGGTGGGGTCTGGAAATTTATATTTTTTAAGAAATTTCCCAAAGTGTTTTGATGACCAGTCACATTTTGGAATGATTGGTTTGATTTTTGTTGCATTTTCTTTTTTTCTGCCCGAAGTCAATGAAGTTCGGAAATAGCAAAATCTAATGAACAATGGCTGGAGATAAGAACTGGGAAGTAGAGCGATCAAGGAATAGAAAGTTTAAGTGACTTGCCAAGTTGACACAGCTCATAATGTTCAAACCAACAAGCAAAGTCCGTGGGACATAAATATGGGACACAGACTCAAAATCAGGTTGGCAACACAGACCGTGTGAAGTGGGCTGGGGGTAAGACATCAGTGAGTAGTGGGGACTGCGGTGAACTCAAGGCTGTACACAAATACAGCAGGCATCTGCTCCTCAGCTCCAACCTCTTGTTGCGTCTAAGGGTGTGGCTTTAAGTGGCTAGATATTCTGGTTTTTTAAAAGAAGCCAGAAAGTCCACATTTCCTGGCTTTTAAATATGGCAATTCATTCAATTTTTTAAAAAAGAAAACCACACTGTGATTTTGTCAAAAAAGAAAGAAAAAGCAAACCACCCTGTGAACAAGATTCATCTGCAGGCCGACGCCTGCCCCTGGAATGCCAGTGTGCAGTCTCTTTCCTGAAAGGTCATCCAGTTTAGCCTCCCTTGAACTCTTGAGTTCCCTCTAGAGCACGGAGAGGTGGCCAGAGGGTGAGGGGTCCTGTCTAGCAGGTTGATTAGAAAGTGTCTGGTGTGTGTATGTGTGTGTGCAAGGGTGGGGCTTCGGGCCTCCCTCCCCTCCCAACTGAAAATGCATTCCAGACCCAGAGGCAGGGTGTGACCACCACAGCCACAGCTCCCTGGGAGATGACCTGGGAAGGGCCAAGATCTTCAGGCCAATAGGGACTGGTTGGTGGAGGAGTCCAGCTGTGAGGGGCTACAGAGGAAAAGTCAAGGAAGGAAAGCTCTGGAGAAAGCCAGAGAGCAAAGCTGTCCTGAAAGGGAATACTAGAAAAGAAAGGAGAAAGAAGCAACAGCTTTAAAAATTCCACAACCCAGGAAATGACGTTCCCAGAGTCCCTGGCCAATCATCAGAATGAGCAGTCTTGCCACTGCCACGTCCTTGGTCTGCTTAATTTTTCTTCGTGGTGCTGACCACGAACTCACCTTATATATTGTGTATTAATTTGCTTACTTTTGGATGCCCTCACTGCAATATATAGCGCCGAGAGATGCAAGGCTTTGACTCTTTTATCTGCAGTTCGGTTCCCAGCGCCTGGTGCAGTGCTCAGCACATAGTAGATGCTTAACAAATATGGCTTGAACAAACGGACTGCAGGCAAGCAGTTGGCACCAAAACAGTTTAACGTCATGTGTTGACCATGTAATAATGACATGAGCACAAAGCATTTTATAATTCACAAAACCTGTCGTTGAACTTAATTCCTCCCATTTTCTTTTACTGAATTGCTCCGTTTGTTTGGATACAGCCCAGGAGACTGCTGGCCTCTGCAAGGCGAACAGCCCAAGAACCACCTCTGACAGAGCTGCCTGCACGGCGGCTCAGCTGGCTCCCTCTCTCTCTCCCATTCTCTCTCTCTCTCTCTCTCTCTCTCTCTCTCTCTCTGGGGACTAGGAGACAATGAGGCTGCAGAACTGCAGGGCTCAGCACTCACCGGGCAATGTCATCAAAATGATCGAACATTCCGGGGCCAGGTTCATCCAACCTCCCCAGCTCAACAGAGCTCTGGTTAGAAGCCTGGGAAGGGTATAGACGCATGGGAGGCCGCACAGCATGTGGGCTCAAGACAGACTGCCTGAGCTCATTTCCCAGCTACTGACCTTGGACCTGCCTCAGCCTTGTTGACCTCATCTGTAATGTGGATACAACAACAACAATAACAACACTAATTACTTCAGAGGGTACTTGTGCAGCGTAAATGAGGTACTTCACAAAGAGACCTAGTACCATGCCTAGGACTTAGCTCAGCACAAGTGACACCCGGCTGTAATGGCGGCACACCAGGCCCCAGTGCTATCACTTCCCAGCAGTGTGACCCTGAGTGACTGAACCCCCTCCCTAGACCTCAAACTCTTCTCTAATATGGGGGTAACCTGGACTCCAGGACTGAATAAGGAATGAATGAAGTCATGCATGTTAAGTACTTTGTGCAGGTCCTGGGACATATTAAATGCTTAATGAGCTAGTATCTGATTATTATTCAAGAAATTTTTACTAGTCTAAAATGCCAATATGAAAATCCACTCAAGGCAGTTTGCCATATGCAAATAAATCTTTAGACCATAGATTCTTCAGTTGCAAGTTTCTTTCCCCACCCCCCTTTAGGTTTTAGTTACTCTAAGAATTAGCTCTCCCAGCCCCTGGGGATCTGACCTAGGAGGCATTTGGAGGTGGGTTCACAGTGCAGGGCTGGCATCCCTCTACATCGGTACAATCTCGCAGCTCCATCTGCCTCTTCGCCCCCACAACACTGCAGTCTGACAGCGAGGGAGAGGACATGCAAATATGCCCTAAAAACGGCTTGTTATTTTCACGGCCTGGATGGTGCACGTCTGTGGGTGCCTGTGAGGACAGCATGTCACTGTTGGGTACAGGGCAGATGCCACCAATTTGGGGGTGGTGTAAAATGTAAAAATACCCAACCCAAATAAAAGTGGCTTCTCCAAAAAAAAAAAAAAAAAGGGAAGAGTTCCTCCAGTGCCTTTTGCAGAGGAGAGAGGTGGTAACTCAGCCCCCCAGGCGAATCTCAGCTTGGCCACCTCTGCCCAAGACACCTGGCTCCTCATCAACCCCATGCACAGCCTTAGTGCCCATGAAACTGCTCAGCTATTGGCTCCAAATGGCAATTTTACTGTGGAACGACCCAGAAACAGATGCTCTCAAGTTACAGACCTGGGAAGGTGAGGAGCAGAGGGCCAATCGACAGGGACCCTGCATCATGAAGACAGAACACTAAATAAGCTGGGAAGTGCTCCAACAACACATTGGCTTTCAAGATCAATTCAGAAGAATATAATCACAGTCAACTCACATCTTGTAATCCACAGTCTTTAGTTGGCACCTATGATGGACCTCATCCACGTGTCTTGAGCACAAATGGCTAACAGGGTCCAGGCAGTAGAGGTAAATGAAGACAGATGGTAGTAGCAAAAGCAAAACCAACAATATAAGCAGGATCAAGATAACAGGGAGGTGCAGGGGCCTGTGGCCTACTGGAAAGAGGAAACAGTAAAGTACCTCCGTCCACCCCCACTGAACCATTGCCATGCCAGAACAGGGCAGTGTATGACGAGATCTTCCAATTTTTTAATCAAAATTTTCAAGTGAAATGTGGGTTCGCGTTTCTTTTAAAACACTGAGCTGGCCAAACAAAATACATCTGAGAGCCAGGTCCAGCCTGCAAATGGCCAGTTTGCCACCACAGCCAAGTCCCCAACAGTCCTCTGCAGTTTTTAGGTACCTGTCAGGAGAAGGGGAGCTGAGAAATAGTTGCCTAATATCCCCAGCTCTCCCCTGCGGTTACCCAGACGCCCTTCTCCATGCAGAAAGCCCTCTCTCTCTAGCACTTCCAGCACTTCAGCCCCCCGAGCTCCCCCCAGGCTCACCTTTGCCTGTGAACCCTCCCTCCAAGCACAGCTGCTATTCCCAGCTGCTCAGCCGCTTCCTGTGCCCTCCCCATCCCAGCCTCTTCCCCACCTCCCACCACAGGCTCCTCCTTTCCAGGGGGCAGCTACTCTGGCACGCCTCTGAAGAAACGGCACTGCTGGGAACCTTGCTGGGGCAGGCCTTCAGACAAACGGCCAGCCCTGGGCAAGTGGCCGGGGGCATGCCCCGCATAGATCCTCGGCCATGCCGGGGACTGCTGCTGCTCACCAGTGCCCTGAGGAAAGGGCTCATGAGAGCTGCAGGTACAACGGACCTGAGGAGGGGTCCCTTGCAAATGCCACATGTGGGTGCTCCACGTGTGGGTCCTGGGCACGTGCCATCTAAGGCGGACACTGCTGGCTGACTGAGGCCATGCCCAGCTCTGGCAGCTGCCTGGGAAGGGAGGCCGCACTACTCTTCCTCCAAGTTCCCTGGTTCAGCTGCAGAAAAGGCCAAGAGGGGTGGAGGTCATGATGTGACTAATGATAATTTTAAAAGATAACCTAATATTGGCATTCTCTCGTCTACTTTTCAAAACATGTACACATTCCCATTCCCATTATCTCCCCTGATCCACCCACCACCCCAGAGAGATGGCCGAGATATTGCTGTTCATTACTGTTATTATTATCACTCTTCCCCCGCCCCTCGGAGAACCAGAGACAGGTTAAATATCCTCCCCTGGCCCAGTGCTTCTCCAGTGTTAACACGTCCACGAATCCCTGGGGGATCTTGTTAAGATGCAGATTCTGATTCAGAAGCCTGGAGCGAGGCCTGGGATTCCGCATTTCTGATAACCCCAGCGTGGTATGGATGCTACCGGTCCTCAGACTCCACTTTGAATAGCAAGGTTAAGGTCCCATGGTGGGTTTAGGGCCAGACCTGGAATCTGCCAGGGGTAAAAGACTCGCTCACCTCACTTTTCACGGGCTGGGGCCTCTTGCCCAGTTTCACCTCCAGGAAGTGCAAGGGTGCAATCATGGCCCCGAGGTTGCGGATGTCAGCGTATTTCAGCTCCTCCACAGTCAGGGCCGAGCTGGGGAGTCCGGTCAGGGGGCCAAGCCCTGGCAAGGAGCCTGCAGTCACCGAAGGGTCCGGGATCTGCCCAGGCATCATAGCAGGAGGAGCGGCAGGCCAGCCTGGAGTGGGCAGGAAAAGAGCAGGACAGTCAGCCAGGTCAGGGGCTCCAGGAGGGCTCAAGCCCCTCGTCTTGCCAGGACTGTCGCTTCTTTCACCACTGTTCCCCTGAATCCCTTTCCCACCCAGCTGCTCTTCCTGCCGTAAAGTCCTTCCTGTTCCAGAGGAAAAGTTGCTCAATTAACTCACACCAAGGTCACCCTTGGCACTGCCAGGAGTGTCTGCCTTTTTTATTTTGAAGGCAATGCTTGACCCAGTCATAGGCAACATGTATTCAGCCTTTGCTGTGTGCCAGGCCCCACAGTAATCCTGTAGTCAGTCCCATTAGGCTGGATCAGAGGTCATTACACAGAGGACGTAGCCAAGCTTAGAACGATAATTTGCTGAAGGTTGTACACAGTTAAAACTGGTGGAGCTGGGATTTCAATGGCAGCATACAGTCTCTGAAGAGAGTGAATTATAACGGCGGAACCTCAAGCACCTTCACACCTGTTTCAGAGGAAGCTATTTTTGGTCTGGCATGGTGCCTCCCCTCCAATCACACATCCTATTCTGCATACTTGTTAAGACACCGTGAATAGGAGATGAAGCAAAGCTAAGTTAAAGGTGAGTGTGTGTGATATCTATGAGGAAGGGACTGAGGCAAAGCAGGTGGAATTAATTAGCATGTGCTTTCCGTGTGAAACCCAGTACCAGAAAACTCCTCCATGCCCTCATACCCTCCTCCCTCCTTTTTTTTTTTGCCCAGGCTGGAGTGCACTGGCGCGATCTCGGCTCACTGCAACCTCCTCCTCCCAGGTTCAAGCAATTCTCCTGCCTCAGCCTCCCGAGTAGCTGAAATTACAGGCACGTGCCACCACACCCAGCTAATTTTTGTATTTTTAGTAGAAACAGGATTTCCTCATGTTAGCCAGGCTGGTCTTGAACTCCTGGCCTCAAGTGATCTACCCACCTCAGCCTCCCAAAGTGCTGGGATCATAGGCGTGAGCCACCACACCTGGCTACCTCCATGGTCTCTTCATTCTCAGAGCAAACACATATTCCAGCTGTGCCAGACCAAAAAGGTGTACGAGGGAAGACAGATTCAGACATGGAAGAAGGATGTAAATTAGACAGGTCAACACCAAGGGAATTCTTCCCTTTACTGGGGGAAGCTCATGGGGAAGAAACGGTCATTTCAAGGCACAGATGGCAGTGAAGAAAGCTGGTCTGCCAATAAAGCCAGTCCCTTGAAGGGCTCCTCCTACCCACCCATCCATCCAGTTACTGACCACCTACTATGAGCCAGCAGGCCCTAGGAATATGGAGGTCAGATGTGCAGTCTTAGCTTTGGAGCAGCCTTATAAGTAGCATGTTAGCATGAAACTGCTCTTAGATTCTAGTCCTGGAAAGGAAATCATTTCTCCCTCTTCTCACCTTTCTGCCTAGGGCCATAAAATCAAAATCCTCACTGGCTTAGCACTCCTGAGGGAAAATCTTTGGCCTATCCTTCCATCTTTACCTGTCTCTTCCCATGGAGAGAGATGTATTTGGCAGAAGAGGGAAGATCTGATGTCCATTGGACAAGGCTGCTCTGGTGGGCAATTAATCTACTCAGATGGCCACACGTTCTTGGGCTCTCTGTCTCCTACAGGAGTGGCCTTGGAGGGTGACCCTTGACAACCACCTGTCCCCATTCCACTTCCCAGGTCTAGATCATTCCAGAGAGGGGCATTCATGAACCTGTTTTGGCCACAAGTGCAAGTCATATTCTCCATCTCCATTTCCCTTTCGAAGGTGAAATTTGGTTCCCTGTCCAAGTCCAGAGTCTATTTCCCAATAAGTTCTATTTCTCTAAGAGGAAAAGTATGTGAGTAATTTGTACCCTCAAGCACAAAGGTTTCCACTGGCCATCCCTTTGTCTAAAGCAAGGTGTCTAAAGCAAGGTGCCTGGGAATGGGAAGTGGACCTGCCGTTTCATCCTCAGTATGCCTGCTGCATCTGTCATAAAGCCTCTGCCCATAGCTCCCTGGCTTGCCCCAGAGTTTTTCTTTGGTATCCTCAGGCTCCTCTATCTGTGCTCTATCTACTGTACTTCCCACATCTGGTCCTCTTAGCACCCCTTCCCACTCACATCCTTTCTCTACTTCCTTCACCCGGTGTCCCTGGGCCATCGGAAAAAGGTGTGAGACTCAATCACATTGAATTACAGTCTTAGAGCTGAAGGAGGCCCTGTGCTCATCTAAACCACATCCTCATTTTGACAGGAGGAAACTAAAGCTCAGAGAGGCTAAATGGCCTCCCCAAGGTCACACAGCTGCAGAGGATTGGAGCCACGGCTCGACTCCTGGTCCCAGGGTTTTAGACCAAAGCTTTCTCACTCTGCCTTTTTTGTTTCCCTTCCTGGGGTCCAATAGGTAACGATGCCTTCAGCAGAAGGAATGACTTTCTCATGATGGGCTTTCAGACACCAGCCCATAGTAGAGGGTCACTGTCGTGCACAGAGGACCCTCCACCCCCCATGGAGATCCAGGTTTAGGAAGTTCCCTGAATAACTCCATGGTAGCCTGCGTGGCAGCCCAGACATAGAAATAGCCCCTGAGACCTCTCGCATGTGGGTGTTCAATGTCCTCTGATCCCCCAAACTCTGAACTGGACTGGAGCCTAGTGCAGTAAGAGAGCCTTCTCTCAGCCCTCTGGAATGGAACCTGCAATGCAGAGAGGGCCGCAGCCTGCCACGTAGGAGGCTGCTCCGGGGCACTGTAGATGAGCTGCATGTCTCCCCTGGCCTCCTCTAAGGAGAACAGGGAAGGAGCCAGCAGGAAGACCTATTCCTTGCAGCAAAACTGTGCCGGGAACAAACCATGTGGCCATGTGGCCAGCAGCGCGGTGATTCCAGGTGGTAAGCAGCAGTCACGGCTGGTTGTCGCCCAGGTGACCCCAGTGCTTAGCATCATTTCTGGCGCAGAAAAGGTCATCAATAATACTTGTTGAAGTAAGAACTAAGTAAATAAATGAATGAACAAATGACAGCAAATTCACAGCAGAGCAAAATTCAGCAAATGGGGTAAGAATCCGTCTCTGGAAGCTTAGATGCTCATTATCAGGCTGTAATTTCACCTCCAAGTTATTCATTCCCACAGTAGACCCCAAGAAAAACACTCCAGAGGCTTCTGTGTATTTCCCTGCCTAAACCTTCCATCTCTGGGAGATGGAAGCCAGACGCCATTCTGTTCCGGGAATGATAGGCTGTTTGCAACTTCTGTTTATTCTCACACAGATGGTAGAAATGAGACACTAACAAATGATCCCAAAATATAACGAATTTTCTGCTACTGTGGAACCCCCTGAAGGGGCGGCCACCCTCTGGGAGCGGGGGCCCCTAAATTTTGCCATTCCTGTTCCCCTGTGAATCCATCCCAGTGACAAGCCTCACCCGGGAGACGAGGCACTAGTCTTTCCTTCGTAGAAGCAAAAGTCCCCTATCTTTCCGCCCCCTACAAAAGAGCCCCCTAACTGCTCAGATACAAACCACAAAGCCCTCAGCCATGCCATTCCTAGGAGACAACCACAGCAGCTGACATTCACCAGCCGGAAGTCATCCTAAACATCTCTGGTAGGGGGGCACAGAAGATGGAGGAGCTGAGCAGCTGCCTTTCATAATTGGATCCTCATTAACTGCAAAGAGCTGGCTGACGATCTAAGGCAGAAAGGCAACTTTAGTGATTTGAAAAATAAAACAATTTGATGTGATTTAAGGATCTATAAAAAGGGGGAGGGGGGCAGTGGAGGTGGCAGCGGCAAGGAACCAATAACATCCAGAAGGGACTTACCCACTTCAAGGAAGACTTAGGAAAGATGACAAGAGGTGAAATCATCTCCCACACTGGTTGTTCCATACGGAAACAATTTAGTAGGAAAAGAAGAACTACACACTAAAAGCTTCAGGAGAAGAACCCAGAGTTTTTTCCCTTCAGGGCCCAGGAGGTCTGAAAGGCAGATAAACATCCTCGGTGTCTCCATGAGTAACTAGGGGGCATAAATAAGGAGCAAGCTCTACACATTGGCAGAACACCAACACTGGGAAATGGGGCTTGTGCCTCAAAATACAGGCCTAGAATCCAAGAAGACTTTGGCAATGCGGGACACTGACCAGGAATAAGTTGGAAGTCAGCCAGTGAAGGAAAGTTGGGTGAAGCACACATTCAAGATGGCGACTGACTAGCAAGGCATGAATCAGATAGATGAGGTTCAGAAGGTCACAGTGGACCCTAAGCTGTTGTTGATCCTAAGATTATGATGCAGCTCCCCGAAAGCCAGCTTGAAGAAAATGGGGACCAGATGGATCTAAGAGGAAAGAACTTGAAAAAAAAAAAAAGGTCTGATAGCTGTACTCTCTACTCTTCCTCAGTGGCCTGTGGGCACACAGTTAGGGCACTGCCTTGTACAAGCAGAAGAAAAGCCACAAAACATTTCAAGTCTAGGAAATAGAGCCTCCTGGGAGATACTAACATGAAGTATCATTTCAGCCAAAAGAAAAGCTAAAGGTAACTTATTAAGCTTTTTCCTCTGGTTTTCTTCTCTCATTTTTTTGTATGTAAATCTGTAAGATATTAGGTTAATGGCAAAAACCGTGATTACTTTTGCACAAACCTAACGCCTTAAATCTTTTTTTTTTTTTTTGAGACAGAGTTTCATTCTTGTTGCCCAGGCTGGAGTGCAATGGCATGATCTCGGCTCACCACAACCTCCGCCTCTCGGGTTCAAGTGATTCTCCTGCCTCAGCCTCAAGTAGCTGGGATTACAGGCTTGCACCACCATGCCTGGCTAATTTTTTAGTAGAGACAGGGTTTCTCCATGTTGGTCAGGCTGGTCTTGAACTCCCAACCTCAGGTGATCTGCCCGCCTCGGCCTCCCAAAGTGCTGGGATTACAGGCGTGAGCCACCATGCCCGGTCCTTAAATCTTTTTTAATGGAAGTGTCTATAAATAAATAACAGTCTTGTTTTATGAGTCAAATTTATAAGGGTCATTCTTGTTAGAAAGTGCCCTAAAATCAGCATTTTCATCCAGAATGGCAAAGACAGGTAAATAAAAAGAGGTTAAGAGAAACTTAGCATCTGCATCATGAACTTTCTGTCCATAGAAACAAAGGTTTCAAGGAGGCTATAAAACTCCTGGGCCTCTTTGAGATGGTAAGCTCCCCTCCAGGCCAGCAGCTGGCTTGGGCTGCCATGAGGAATAAGAATGGGTATGCACATGGGTGCAGATGGCCTAAGGCTCAAGGCTTGGTGCTGAGAGAACGTGGAGGTGAGAGTGACAAGTCAAGGAGGGAGGGAGTTTACAGTTGAGGGCAGGGCATGGGCAATGGCGATTGAGACTCAACAAGAGAAGTGGGAGATCTTGGGAGCTAAAGCCTGGGAAGATTCCCAGGAGAGAGCAGGATGCAGAGGGCAGGAGTCCACAGAGAAGGTTAGAAAAGTGCCAGGCCAGTGGTCATGGCGCATAGTACCTGCTACCATTAATCTTGGAGAATCAACCACAAAGCCTCTTCTTGGAGCTAAGGAGTCACCCAGGATGACCTCTCTCTTGGAATCTGAATGACGTAGGTCACGCAGCTTCCAAAAGTCAAGGAGATCCAGAAGATGAGAAGCAAGATGATGCGGGGAGGGCTCCAAGACTGAGAGTGCAGGCGAGCGGCAAAAGGCTCTCTTCAGATGGCTGTCCCCAGCTCTGCAGGCCAAGACGAAGGTGGGGTTAAGAGTGGCGGTTTGGGAGCCAGATCACCTGAGTGTGAATCCTAGATCTGTCCCTTACTGGCTGTGTGCCCTTGGGCAAGTTCCCTAACCTCTCTGTGCCTCTCTTTCCTCAGCTGTAAAGTAAGAATAACAATGTTATTTGCCCTGTATAACTGTCAAGAGGATTAAATTAGTTAATACTTGGAAAGTACCTGGAACGGTGCCTGCACATAGTAAGTGTGAAGTCAGTGTGGCCACCAGGGCCTTCCTTCCTGGAGGGGCACCAGGGCCAGATGACCCCTCAGGGTCCCTTCTGGACTAGTCTCTCTTTCCTGCAGCCATGAAGAGGATTTTCCCCAGAGGATTCTCTGCTCTCCCACTTTCCAGCTCTAAATCCCAAGGGGGCAGGACCATCTTGCATCCTGGCAGTTGACTGAAGAACAGAAACAAAGGGTGCCAGGTCAGGGCTGGGTAGAAGGTGCAGAAATGGGGCCCAGCACCTGCCCTTGGCCTCGGTTTCCTCTAAGGTCTCCTCCACCCTGCAGGCCAGAACACGGCTGCACAGACACTGGCAACAAGGTGCCATCAAGAACTAGTTTCCATTCCTGCCCCGAGGCAGACAGCCAGCATCTCCTGTGCCGTTTAATCTACTCCATCCCTGCACTGCTTCCTAAGAAGACAAGGAGGGGTAGCTGGGTTCAAGGGAAGCCACTGAACACTGGCAGCCGTGATCCCTGCACAGCTATCCCAGCCATAGGAGAACCTGGAACCAACCCCCAGGAAACTCCTGGTTTTCCCTGGAGACCAGAGAAATGCTTCCAGGGCCTTGCCTATAACACAGCTTTGTGCTCTGCCTAATGTAGGTGCTCAGTAAATACATATGAAGTTATCTCTGCCAGGAATCTTTAACCCAGGCAGCAAGAGGAAGCTGGGAGCGTACAGCTACTGGACGAGCTTTCTATTCCCCCTTCGGCTTCACGCCCGTTCTGGTCCTTGGTGGCTGGCAGGGGTTAACAGTACCACACCTAACACAGACACACACACAAGGTGTGATAACCGCCCTGGTCTCTTTTTTAAAAATGCCATTGGCCAGCTGAAGCTTTGCAAATGGAGCTCCACAACCAAATCCCGTGGGCTGCAGCAAGAAAATAGACTAAAAAACAACAACAACTAAGAATGGTGGGCTCTGGCCAGGCCTCCCACAGCCAGCAATACGCAAAGAAACACAGGCTGAAAATTCCAAGACTGGGTCACTAAGGCATTTGTCTCTGCTGAGTTTCGAGAGGCCAAACCACACACACACACACACACACACAAGAACGCGTGTGCACACACATGCACATGCACACACACATACACAGGCACATGGAGCTTGGCAGTCCCTAAGTTCCAGAGTTGGTAATACAAGCCACGGAACCGACTGCCAAGACAAGCAACAGAACGAGCCAGGCCCGGTTTCATTGGCCACCATACACTGCATATGGCCCGGGATGCAGCCAAAACAGTGTTCTCACCCTCCTCAAAGGCATAGGAGACCCTCTGTTTTCAAACACACCTCCACAGAGCCTTAATTAAAGGAAAATGGAAAAATAATGTGCCTGCTGCCCTCCCCTGCCTATATAGGTATGCACACACACATACCCATACACACTCACTCCATTTTTCTCTTCCTCCCATTTCGGTTTCAAACATAATTCATTCGCATGGAAAAAAAGCAAACTGCATCCTGCGGCAGAAAGGCAGAAAAGAATGTTGCTTGCCCTCAACCCTGGCTCTGATTGCTCAAGTTGAGCTGGAGCTGAATGAATACAGAGCAGGCCGGCCTAGAGTCGGCATTGGCCCCTTTCTTTCCAGAGGGGAGATGGAAACAGACACTCGAGAGAGACAGCCCATTGCAACACCAGTAGCCCCACTACAAACGAGGCCCAGAGAGCCAGGGATTCTGCAGGTTGGAAAAGCTGCCCACACATCCTGCAAACAGGTAGGGAGATGACAACAAACGCAGGCAGTCAGGAGGAGCATTCCCTGGTAATAGCTGCAAAAGTTAGGCAGTGGGTGAGTGGGGAGACCCTTATCCAAACCCTTTCTATGGGGCATTATCACCACCTTGCAACACATCTCCTTGAAGGTGACTGCAGCCAACCTAGGAGAAAAGCCGGAGGTCTACACACCCATGACTCCCTGCAGCCCTTCAAATCGCACAGCACCCAGCTCTTCAGGAAGATTCTGGAGCTGCCTGCAGCTCTGAACCAAAGCCAAAGTAGAAGGGAACAGAAGAGTCTTTGAGAAATCCATCCTCCCTGCTCTAAACAAGGCAAAACCTTAACCACCCAGAGGTATGAGAATAGATTTTGCTTCTCTGCCTGGATCCTCAGGTTTATATAAAATCAGAGCCATGCTCACACCTGATACCTGGTTAAACTCTCCCCTAGAAACCTGCAAAGGAAGATAAGCCATCCATCCAAGCTGCAGCCAGATTTGCTGGAAAGGTAAAAGCAATGGGAAGTGTTTTTTAAAAACCCTCAGGGAAGGAAGGTTGGGGGGAAGGGAGATATGTGAACGCAGTTCCTATCAAGGGCTTAAAGGACGTTTGGGTACAAATGTACCCAAACATGGTTCAAAGCTTCCCAATTCCTGATGCTCCTCAAATTAAGACCCTAGGGAGAGACCACCAAGATTTAAGCCTGGGTACACACGCCTAAGCAGGCTGCAAGCCCTTTCTGAGATACAGACCTGAGCACATTTGCCCTAAGCACACGTGGTCGGGCCATAGCCCCATGCCCTGGATTCCAATAGGGAGGGCAGCACCCTAGGCAAGGGCCAGGACATCTTGCAACTGGAGATGACCCAAGGGGGTCGGTTGATTTCTCCTTCCACCAGCCTTTCTATCCCTGCAAAAGAGACAGGACCTCCCCATCTTCCCCAGCCTCCTCATCTTCCCTGCTCCTCCCACTGACCCAGGCAAAGCCTGGCTCTGCCATCCCAAGGTCCAGGGGTCCAGGTGGAAGGCCCACTCCACCCCCACACTCTCCCACCCCCAACTGCACCCCTACCCCTCGACAACCTCCTTTGAGGGGAGGAGCAGAGGAGAGCCTTCTAAGCTGGGCTGGGCAAGGGAGAGGCTGGTTACCTACAGGAGCCTGCTTGCCTCCTTATATAACCTGGCGTGGGAGACAGGAGAGCCCAAAGGGGACCCCGGCCACCCCTAGATCCTTTCCCAGCCCAGAGCTCCAAAGCAATGGCCATGAGAGAAGGTGCCTTCATTGGATGGAAATCCAGAGCCCTTCTCAATACTCTCCTCCAGGTCCGGGTCCTCCGGGAGTCGCGCTTCCTCCCTGCCAGCAGGTCCTTGTCATCCCTCCACAGTCGAACCCCCACCCCAACCCCGCACCTCCCTGGCCCTTCACCCTCCATCTCCACCCGCACAGCCCGCGGGCAGTTTTCTCCCCACTCACCCCGCCTTCCCCGCCGCCCGAGGAGAGCACCTCCCTGCAAACGGACAGGGGAGGAGAGCGCGG